TGTACAATCATTCTTTATTATGCATTCATTGAGGAACAAAATTTTGTTCCTAATTTCACACAAAGAAAAAAAAATGAATATGATGACTATTCATGAAAATTGAGGTAAATTCCAGGGAAATCACAAGTGAGGGAAAGTTTTCCACGTAAAACATGGAAATTATCCACATGACAAACCCCACGCTCTTCTGATCGAAGATCAATAAATTGGGAAGTTAACACTAGTACTGTAGTTGCATCATTTAATTAGGCCACATATTCATGCAAATAGTGGATGGGGAACCAAAGTCCATAAAAATAATGCAGGCTGTTCGCCTTCGTTGATGTTAGAAATTACTAAAACTCGGCTCGGCTACGCAAAAAAGAGATTATGGTGTGACTGCGCACTATTTATACCCGAGTAAAAGCCAACTGTTTCGTTATCATACTTGACGCAATTCAAAACTACTGGTAAAAGTGAAAAAGCGGAAGACAGATGCGCAACTACTGAATCACTGTGATTTACTGCTCTCATCGGCGCCGGTGACCAGGGCTTTCTCGGCCTTGAGCCTCACATCCGAGCTTGCAACATAGCGCAGCTGCTGCTGCTTCTCGTCACGTCTCAGTATGATATCGCTGCCAACGATTGTGCTCCATTCGGATGTGAACAGCGAATTAGCAATCTGCACCATCGGGTTCTCGGTGTTCGCCCGTCGTATCGCACAGTCGCCTCGAAGCAACGCTTGCCTGGCCGAATTTACGTCCATAATTCCACCGATCTCGAGCACCAGCGTCTTCTCCTCCCATTCTTTGTCTTCCGAATCAGACATTTCTCACTTCCACCAAATCTGAAAGATTATGAATTTATATATATTGTGAAAAAACTGCAGCAACAAAACGTCCTACCCGAAGTGCCAGTGCTATTCCAAATTATCTTCCTCACACCACTGTTAACTTGTGCCAATCGGCTTCTTCACTTGAGCAATTTGCTGTAATCTGAAATATGTAACATAAATACTATATAAGCAATGGCTACCACTTTACACGCCAAAAACGATTTTTAATGCGAAAAATTCATTTCAAATAATAGCAAAAAGCATTTCTTCAAAAATTCAGCCCTTGCAAAGAAGCGTCAGACACAGATTTTATTGCCAGATATTTTCTAAAAATTTGCGACCTCGAATAATTTAGAAAACTAATGCATATTCGTCTTCTGGTCGGGAGAGATGACATAAGGGAATGGCAGCAATTCGAGATGGGGTGGTGATGTTCAGCCCAAAACAAGGGCAAATCGATACAGTTAAAGCATTGCCAAGTGCTTCCGGCCGGAGAAATCGTGATTCCTTCAACAGACAAAACGACTAGCAGAAACGTGAGTGACCTGACCACTGGTCGATGCAGCGTCAATCAAAGCAAACCGAACATTGTTAGGAATGAAGTTGGAAAACCGGCTTATGACAGTTGCCTCAGATAAGGATAGTGGTACAAATAAAAAGCAAGCATAGTGGCACAAAGTAAAGTGGGAAGTAAAATGTGACCCGCCCTTGGAAAAGGACCGGAGCCGGAAGGGGAGAGGAGGCTAGCCTGGGGTGTTAACTGGGGTTAATGCTTCTAAAAGATCCACATGAAAATGCATCCTCTTTCAGGCGGCATGATCCAGATTAAAGCAAGAACTAAGCCCATTCGTTGAAGCCAAGACCCAAAGATCCTACCAAAATTTCTCATACAGTCCCACAACACGTTTTCCGTTTGTACATAGCCCTCTAAGGCTGAGCTGAACTGCGTTATGCCTGAAGGACAAAAGAGGCGAATTCCTGTCCATCCGAAGATTAGATTGCTGGAGCCCCCGGCGTTCTGTCGAAACACAAGTACGTCTGTTCAAGAAACTGAAAGTCAAGGAAGCAACAACCGACGTACAAGTATTTGTCAGAACCTCTCGCATCTGCTGATATGACTCCATAGGCTTTGGAGCTGCAAAAATCGAAAATAATTAGCGATTCATGCGAACTGCTTGCAGGAACAAACTGCTACAACTACTATACTATGAATCAGAACTGACTGAAAACCGTTTATCTTTAACAAATTACAGCACAGGTATTTACATGAAACATCGATACAGAGTGTAATAAAGGAGTTAGTGAGTGCAAAAAAATCAGCTGAAATCTCATTTACAATTCAATGATTAACAAAGAGAGAAATATTGCGAAAAATCGCAAATGAATAGAATCCAAGTGAATTATTACAGACATTATTTCATTAAAAATGGAATAATAGACGCACAAGTGAAACCCCGACACAGAAATTGGTGATTTTCCAGAGAGCTATGCCAGCGCAGTGTGTTTACGACAACCACTGACTTGTTTCGAAACTGTGTCACAAAAAAGAACTGCGTAAAGAAGTTGTGGAAGTGCTACGAGACAATCGAAAAACACATCCTCTCTTGTTGATACTACGCTTCACTGTAGTTCCCGAGAAAGGCCTGTAGTAGCTGAATCAGACTCTATCATAATTAACGCCGACCATCGTAATGGCCCAACAGAAGAACCGGCACTACACTTCAATTCGTATATCCTTAGTGCTGTATTTACATAAAACCTCTCTGCTTTCGCTCTTTATAAGTAGTGGAGACTGCGCAAACAGATATTCATCCTCTGACAGCGGTTACCTCTTCCAAGGGTTGCTTAGAAATAAGCTGAGAGCGGTTTCAACAGAAGCAAACCAGAAACGGTTTTAACTTCCTAGCATGCGCCAGTACCATCGACACAAAGGAAAGAATCGCAAGGAAAACGGTCCTCTAAGCGGCAAAGTCGAATCGTTGCCTATCAGCGTAGAAGCAGTTCCCCAATTATCAATTCGTCAAACTTGCCAGGGAAACTTTTTTCCGCGTCAAAAAAGGCATAATGGTCGAGGAGCAGCAAAAACTATTCTTAGAACCAATAAAAGACAGTCAGAGAGAAACTCTTTCACTGTGGACAATTCATCTTTTTTTTTTTTATCATAACAAGCGTATCTTTATGAAGACGAAACACGTCGCCGCTGCTTTAGCCTAGCCATGTTACAATCTACGGCTCATAGTTCGTTCTCTAGAAACTATCCAAAAAGAAAGCCAGTCAAAGGCCTATTCAACTTATATCAGTAGATTCTGCTTCTGCTTACTCCTGCTTATCAGTAGATTGCAATAAAACCTATTTCCTCGGCAACAGCTTGAAAAACGAAGTATGCGAATTCACAGAATACAAGACGTGCAGGCCTCCATACCATTCCAATCTCAGTCTAGCGAACTGCTAGTGCATTGAATAGTGGCGAGATAAGTAACAAACAGTGGCCTTGAACTGACCAATGAAATCTGTCGATGAGTAAATTCGAACTCTTTCTGCGACGAATTATTCTTTCTGCATATATTTTTACTGGAGAATGCGGGGGAATTAAAATCTCCATTTTTGGTCAAAGCTCGGAAGCATGCACCAGGGTCAACCTTACCAGCTACTGTTGCTGCTCGCAGCGTGCTGTTAGTCGAATCTATCCCGAATGTTTCAGCCTCTCACAATTCAGTGAAACAGCCAGGCACTTAACCCATTAAAAAGTGCAGTTACTCAAAAAAAGATAAATTAGGTGCTGCTAACAACCTTTTGGAGGATGTTCATGATGAGTGGGTAGTAGGTGACATATTCAGTGCGGCCGCCTGCGATGACTGATGAGGTATAGGAGCGCATCAGCGAAGACATGAAACTGATACGATCTGCATTGCTGTGATTCAGGAACCATCGCAAATACTCTTGCAACGACCAACCGGCCGACACATGCGGCGATATCAACGATTCCTCACTCAGACTTATCAGCAGCTGCACAACAAACCAAAACGGCAAAGCATCGCAATCTGGAAGCTGCTCCGGAGGCAGTTTGAAAGCTTCAGCAAACTGGGGCACGTTACGCAGGACAGAGGACTGCACATCGAACAGAGAGAGGCCCTGCGAAGCAATGTACTGCAGATCCAGAGATAGGCAGTTCAGCTGATCCGAAGAAAGAGGCCGTATGAGAGACGAACTCAGCAGAAACAGCTCCACAGTGTAATCCAGAAAAGTGGTCAAAATCTCTCCGGAACCAGGAAAATTCAGAAATAGAGGCGCATGTAGCAAAAAGACTCGCAAGTAGTTGCATAATTCCTTAGCGTACGGCGATGGGTTGCTTAATTCCTCGTTGTGCATTGACGCTAAAATCGTGAAAACTGATGAGCGAGCAACATCCATTATCGCTTCCCGCGCTTGTCGCAATATTCGTGTCAGAGGTTCTGCGTGTGTAGGCCATGACGTACTTAACGAATGGGCCACAGAGAGTGCCGCATAATTTTGCATCTGAAATGCATTTTGAGAATGTTGATTCATTGGTGACGTCCAGTTTCCAGATTCAACGTATTACCAAGGACATTAGTTCAGCCTGGGCCATCGATGTAGGGACTCGAAACCAATGATACTACAGGGATGCAACCATATGCCAGCCAAGCCCTTCGGGGCTAAGCTGCATTCCTCTAGTTATTACCCAGAGACAGTTCGATATATGTGCGTCATGTGGTCGGAAAACTGTTTAAACGGTTGTTTATTTGAATTATTAATTAAACACCGTTTATTTGAACTATTAATTATACATTCATGCCAAACCTACTGAGATATGCAAAAAATAAACACACCAAGTTCGTTCGTTTTACTTCAAACTACTTCAACAATAAAAAACCCAAGCTGGGACGTATCAGGCGGGTCGCACTGATCATGCGTTTTTGCACTATTTCGTGCTGTAGCAAAACCGCAAACAATCACGACAGCTAAAAATTGTCATATATTGGCCTTCGAAGTTAATTGTGCAGCCATGTGGCATGTCAGTTATAGATGTCGGCTTCAGTGACCTGACAAATGGAAAATTGCTGGTGCGCGAGAAAGACTTCACTAGAACAGTTGAAAACAGAAATCTTTTGGTCGCAAATGAGTAAGGACAATTCCCTTTCAGTTTCCTCGTTTCTGAGTTAGCAATTTTCCCGCCAAAGCATTCATGTTCCTGTACGGGAGTCTCGGTCGGCTCCGAAGTGTTGAATTTGAAGTCTTTTGGTCGTGTGTGAGTAGGGGATGCTCCGCTAAAGTTTCAGCCCTCTAGCTTTTCTCTTTTCCGAGCTAGCAGTTTTCCTACTAAAATTTTCACGCGCCCGTATGTGAGTCCCGGGCGGTTTCAAGCAGATGAGTTTGAAATCTTTTAGTCGTACATGAGTGTTGAACATTATCCTAAAGTTTCAGCTCTTCAGCTTTTCTCCTTCCCGACTTAGTCGTTTTTCCGCTGGAATTTTCACGTGCTCGTACGTGCGTCCCAGGAGAGTTAGATTTGAAATTTTCAGATTAGATTTGAAATCTTTTAGTCGTACATGGGCTGGGAATATTACTAAAGAGTTAGATTTGAAACCTTTTAGTCGTACCTGGGTTGGGAATATTACTCTAAAGTTTCAGCCATTTGGCTTTTCTCGTTCCCAAGTTGGCAGTTTTCCCGCCAAAACTCTCATGTCCCCACACTTGGGACGCAGACGTGCGTGACAGTTGATACTACGTTTCTGGGGTCGCACTTGCCCAGGGAACACACTGGCAAAATTTTAGCACCAAAGCTTGTGTGATTGGCAAGTAGAAATACCCGAACAGATGAACACACACACACAGACAGGGTCGTTACAATATGCGCTTTTGCTCGCTTAATAAAGGTTCAACGTTTTCAGTTTCGAATCATTACTTATACAAATACCCATTATTTTAATTTGCTAAGTTAAACAAATCTCACTGCTGAAAGTTCTGCTGCCAACAATGCGACGTCCACAACTTAAGAAATCAAAAATAGCATGCATGCCGGATGCAGTTGTGCCAGGTTCATCAATCCTAAACTGCAACTGACACTCATCAAAAGATCAATATATAATTATTTAACAGTTCCTGCCAATTTTTTGTTGCTCGTTTTTGTTTTTTAGATCTTTTACTGCGCAACTTTTTAACTCGTTTCTGATTATCTGGTAATCATAAAAGAGTACCTGGGCGCTGCTGATGCGCTCGCCCATCTGAAGAATGCTTGGGTCAAGCACAAGACGCTGCTCGATTTTTTGTGCAACCAGTTGCATCACCTTTGTTATGTTCCCCTCCATTTCGACCTTCAACTGAGCATCCCATTCGACGCCTTCGATTTCCTCCTTTACTGCTGCATCGATCTACAACACAACGAGTAATGATACCTGCAGCAAGCCAGTGAACGCATTTCTCTCAAAAATCATCTATCCAAAAGACACTTTTTCGGCAGATGAACTTCCAAGACTGTTCTC